AGAAAAATATTTAGGGAATGGTCTGCAAAATGTACCGTGGGAGTGAATGGTGGTGTAAGACCTGCTGCTACCTGGAGCTGGAAAAGCTCTTCTCCTTCCTTCTGCACGCTTGCTCCAGGTTACTCTGAGGACTGAGCGAAGACCCAGGCAAAAAGGGAAGTAGGATGCTGCTATTCATTCTCACTATGGGATTTTTATTCCACCGCTTCAGGAAAAATACAACCAAGGCAAGTTAACAGAGGCCTGAATGAATCTGAGAGGCAAGGGCAAGAAAGAAGGCGTGAGGAAAAAAAAATATGCACCTTGTAGTGGCCCAGTACATCTTTCTGCCCTGCCGATTTGCCAGCATTTCTGGCTGAAAAGGGGGAGCAGCTCCACATAGTCCGTGAAAGGTGTATGTCTGCAGTACAGCAAAGTCTGATTCCAGGGAGCACACTGTGTGTGCCGTTCTGCTTAATAACCACCCGCTCCCTGACACAAGTGACTGTGTGTGTAGCTTTCTAAGAGACTCTTTATCCAGAGGACAGGTAAGAGGTTTCTAGGAAATTGTACTTTACTGGTGATTTGCACTCTGAGCACGAGCACAGCATAGTGCACTTGCTTTGTATTGTTGCAGTAGCTGCTGCTTGTGGCTATTTGTAAATATGTATGCAAGGTTTGCTTAATTTCAGGGTAATTGCTTCACAAGCCATTCCGTAGTGTATTTATTATGCCAAGCTATCATTAGATTCCTTTGGGAATTTGTATTGAAACAGGTTGGGAGATTTCCAGGGAGCACAGGTTTTTATTAAATGGGAAAGGAATCAAGTAAGAAGCCCAATTAGCTGAACAAGTTGTGATCTCTGAAGCTACCACATTCAGGGAATCCCTCTTTTAGCAAGATGCAAATCCATCTCCTGTGCTTTTAATAAAGTCTTAAATATAGAATTCAGTATTAGGACAGGCGAGAAGGTGCTTACTGATTAGTCCTGCTGTGAGTAGGAGACTACTTCCAATACAGTATTGCCATGGAGTCCCCATTATTTTTCCTGTTAACCATTATGCTCTTTGTTCTGGTTTTTTTTTTTTTTTTTAAGCTGAGGGCTATACATGTCTTACGTTCATCTCAAAGTTTCAGATTTGAAATCATTATAATTCACAGTTACTTGGATGTTTAAGACACACTTTGGCATTTACACAATAAGAGCTGTACTTGATGATCTGTGGCAGTGAGTCTAATACAAAGTTCTGACCTGTGTGTGTGCGACTCACTGCACGTGTATCTCTGGAACAACACTGATTTCAATAGCATAACTTGGATCTAAAACCTGGGAAAAAAATTGTCCCATGGCATCCACGACATCACTTTTAGATATCCCCTAATATTAATCAGCAGTAATGTCATCGACCTCCAAAGTCATGACTGTTCCATATTTCTTAATACCACTGCATTTCTCAATACGTATAAGGAGGCTTTTGTGCAGAACTGAAATCCATGCGTGATGTACGTTTTCTTAAGGTGAAAATTATTGAAGTTTTCTTCGAATACATTTAAAAACATTAAAAAGACTGTCTTGCCTATTGTCAAATTAATGCATTCTTTATACAATGTATTTTATACTTCACTGGTTTGTAAAAAATTAGCAGAATCTAAAGTTCACATGAACGCCTCTGAGCCCATGAGCATTCCATTAAATATCATTCAGTTGGTATAATTTGATTTAACATTCTGCATTAACTGAATAGTATTGGAATGTAATAAAATAGTAACTTCAATATTAACTTTTTTTACCTTATTTGGTGTGTAGACAGAAGTTGTCCTTGCTATGGCAAAGTCCTGAGCACTGCTTTTGTTTCCCAGTAAGCAGCTGCTTCCAGAAATGTTTTGGGTAAGACTGTGTGCTCACCCATATGGCATGTAGATGAAGGAATAACTGTGAGAGTCATGCATTTCTTACTTCAAAAAGTAACCTGTTGATAATTTCCCCTTTGGTCAATTTACAGCATATTATGTAGTCTCAGTATGGAGGTTTTCCCTCTGCATTAGCCAGATCAAGAACTGGCACTGCTTGGGCAATGCTGTTATAGGAGGAAGAAACTGATTCAAAGTCTCAAAGGGCTAGAGGGGATTCCCTGTAAAGTCAGTAGATGGTTTCCTATTGACTGCACGAAGAATTAGAACATGTCCCATGAGACTTATCTGAGAAGCTGCTTGCAAAGTAGGTATTTTGCTTCCTAGCTTATCCATCAAAATGTATCTGTCTTTTTATTTCTGCTGCTATTGTAACTGTGTTTCTTTGTAAGGTGCTCACAGGGAAACTTGAAAACTCTTTCACCTTCTAGGAATTAGCACTACAACTCACTGGTGCTTGTGGTATGCATCATTTACAAGGAGTAGGAGGGCACTGTCTGTATAACACATCTTGTCTTAGGTACTGCAGTGCTTCTACTGTTTTTACACTTCTCTAGAGAACTGAGCTGTTAACTGATATCTAAAAGACACACACAACCATAATTTGGGAAAACATGGAGAAGTTTCAGTGTGACTAATGTAAAAGCATTCTGTTGTCCTAGGGTGTAACATATGAAGGTGATTAGCTACAAATATTGTAGGTAAATAAGATACCTTTTCAGCTGTGCTCCTTATATTAAGGATTCAAAGTAGAGGAAGAGTTTAAAAGACTTCTACAGCTTTCTGCCATCACAGGCATCTTTATCAGATTAATTTTTAGCCTTTTTGTAACTCCTGTCACCAGGACACACTTAAACAAGACTCAAGTTGCATGCCCAGAAGACGAGCAAAGCACTGGCAATTGCTTGCATTGCCCTTTCCCCTGGGGTGACTTGTAGCTGAGTAACACACGCACTTGTGGATACCGTCTGTTCCTTCTCACGTCTACATGAACACTCAGTTTTGTATGAAGTGCACAGCTAAACAAGTGTGAGGTAGACCATAATCTGCCACTTGGGACCCCAAATCATAGTTCCGTTGTAAGTGCAGCCTCAGAAAATAGTAAACAGTATACTTTTGCTTTTATAACAAGATTTGGGCTAAAAAAGACCTAAAACTCATGGAAGCAGTTCTTAGTAAGATGTCCTCTTCAAAGGAGATGTAACAGAACTCGAAGTTTCTTCAAAACATTTATGAATGAAAGTGAACGTATGCAGACATCTGACTGGGGAGGGGAGGGTTAGATTGGATATTAGGAAAAATTTCTTCACGGAAAGGGTAGTCAAGCATTGGAACAGGCTGCCCAGAGAGGTGGTGGAGTCACCATCCCTGGAAGTGTTCAAAAAATGGGTAGACGTGGTACTCTGGGACATGGTTTAGTAAGCATGGTGGTGTTGGGTTGATGGTTGGACTGATGATCTTAGAGATCCTTTCCAACCTTAATGATTCCTAGTTTTTACTTTTCGTTAAAAAATAATCCAGCCACCAAGCCAGGAAACATGAAATTACTACTCTACTCTTAATTGGTTTAGTGATGGACTTGGTAGTGTTAGGTTAATGGTTGGACTGGATGATCTTAAAGGTCTTTTCCAACCTAAACGATTCTATGATTTTCAGAAGTGGTGATGTAGGAAGGTTTTGGGGTTTGTATGTCTCTGTCAATGTAAAGTGCTGCTGTTAAAATAACAGTAGCCCATTCTGAAAATGGGAGACATTCAGGGTTAGAATTGTGCACCTGGCCAGGGACTGCAGGAGCCATGTCCCAAGGGCAGGGAATACTAAGCACCTGGAAAACATGAGAGTCTTTGATAACTGTCTAATGTGAAGAGTAATAGACATCTTAAGATTTAATTAATCTACAGGCCACTCTCTTTATTACAAAAATAATTTCAGTTAAGGAGATGAGTACTTTGAACGTTGTCAGTCCAGTGGAATGTTGTCATTGATCTTGCTTTTAAAATCTTGCTTTAAGTGAGTTTGCATCATTTACTTATGGAAAATACTGCTGTTAGTTATCATAAACAGATCACTTGGCAAGGTGAGCATAGCACTGAAATTCTGTTCTCAACAGAATGGAAAAACTTAGATAAAAAAAAGACTTGATAAGGTAAAAATAGACTGACACACTGCCACCATCTCCAAAGGGCTGGATTCACATCTACAGTAGTTTACAGAAATGTGGTCAGAAACATGCATGCTCCTTTAATAATAAAAAAAAAAAAAAAAAAAAAAAAAAAAAAAGCACTAGACCTAGAAAAATGTTAAGTCCTAGTCCAAGAAGTCTAGGAATGAAATAGCAGAGGTGCAAAAATGCAGGTATGCAGTTATGGACACCTTCTTGAACTGTTAGTTCTCAGCCCAGACAAACACTAAGATTCGTCCCAGTCGCACTCAGTAGCTCATGAAGGTGGAGCCCCGTTTTGCTGCTCAAGCTGCTTGCTTTGCTTTAGGGGAGATCACATTTTGCCACCTGTGGATTTGCTGTAGTAGATGGCTTGCAATTCTGACTTTTATTTATGAAACTTTTTTTTATCCTTTACCTTTATTCTGACTTGTTGCTTCTGCTAGCAGCATGTTACTCCTCTTTCACTTCACTTGGATAACACACTTCACTGTAAAACTAGTATTAGGCAATGTGTGTTTTATGCTTTGATATACCTCTGGTAGTGTAAAGCTGGTCTAGAAGAACTGTAGCAAGTGTCAGAGAGCACAAGTAGAACTGTAATAAGGGAATAGAGTTTAAAGTACAGCTCAGTTTTTATCAAAGCTGTAAACCCTAATGAATTCATGGGAATTTGGACATGCAGATATCATTAATAAATACTGAAATAAGTCAACTGAACTATAGTGTATTTCTAGGGATTTTGTGGCTTGTTTTTTCTTTCCTACGTATTAAACAAGTAACTTATGGCCCAAAGAACGCCTTAGTTTCCTGGAACCAAGTGTGTCCATGTGATGTAGAAAAGCCAGCAACACTGAAGTGTGGTTTATATAATTTCTTGGTTCACATGGCTGGTGTGCATTATTTTATTTGTGTTGTGGGTTTGTTTTTTTTTTTTTTTTAATTCAGGTATACTTTCCTGCCCTGTGTGCAAACAGACCTGCTTTGCAAGGGATGTAGTTGAAAATTTCTTTCTCAAGGACTTTCCCACTGGTAATTCAGCTATGGCAAAGGTAAGTGAAAACCACTGAGTTCAGTGCCTTGTGAGTTGTTGAAAGATGTGAAGATGAACACTGCTTGAAAACAGAGCAAACTTCATATTGAACAACAGACTCTCTTACAGTTTGCTTATGCAGCACTATAATTACTTCACTCCTAGAGATGGACATACTGCCTTCGTAGTATTTTTTTAATTTTATTTGAAGAATGAGTTTGACTCTATATACCTAAAAGAGTTAATTAAAAAATATTGATATTAGTGGTGTAGGACTGGATCTGTGACAATCAATATAATAGGAAGATACTGAATCTCCTGGATTCCTCATTGACCCTTCTCTGCTCTCAACACACAGTAAACAGAAGCAGACCATTGGCTGAATGGTTACACCAAGATTACCTATTAGATCCTGTGGGCAATCATAATTTTCTGATAATCTGTTTTAATGATAAAAAAGGTCACATCACATTTCAGTTTCCCATTGGGGAATGGATGCAAAGAGTAATTGGAAAGCACAGGGTTGCTACCTTGGCCTTGTATTGTCACTGTACATAGATGGATTTCACTTCTGTTAAATACACAGTTAGCAGGCAGGACTATTCTCACAGTTTTTTAGTTGCTACTACTTTGGGTCATGAGGAGGGACATAGAAAGGTGTGTATTTCTGCCCCCTCTGTTACAAAACAGTACTCTATTATTTGCATTATTAAGATTGATTTCAGAATGTGCTAGTATTACTTGTAGCTGGGAGTTAAAACAGGTGAAAACTTGTCAAAACTATTCTGTCATCTGCTGACTGCTTTATCGAAAGCGTGATCCAAAGCAAGGGAAGACTAACAAAGAAGCAGGGATACTGGACTTCACCTTCTGAACCAGCTCCTGGACCTCAGTCTCTCTCTCTTGCACTTTTGATTCCTAAGTAAACAGGATAGCCACACTGGATATTCGGTTTCAGGGCCTTTGGGTGGAGTGGAACAGTTTTTCCATGATGTAGGACAGAAGATATATCTTTCCACTCCTCTTAACCCCTGTAGGGGCAGCAACAATTTGTAGGTCAGTTCTGTCCCATGCAGAAGGCTTGAGACCACTTTAAATGGTGCAAGTGACTTGCCTAGTGACACCGTTGCAAAAAAATATAGAGGGGATGTACTTCTTCCCTGTCAGTCATGTTTGTATTTAATTTTCTCTATTGTTAAAAAGAAGAGAATGTGTAACCTAATCCATGGAGTGTTCTGGGGAAATTAAAAAATTAATGCGAACAAAATGTGTTGACATCTTCAGGTGTAAGGTGCTTGAAGAGTGCAACATAACTTTATCTAAACCAGGAAGAGCCATTCACATGCACTCTTCAAAGAGAAGAAGAAAATTCATAAGATATTGCTGAATGTTTAGAATGCACTTACTATACTGGGATTTTTAATTACCATGACTCACATCATTTACCTTTCAATGAGAATTTGTGTTGGTCAAAAGGAAATGAAATGAGAATATCTAATGTTTTCAAAAGCACTGGATTATTTTTTCAAACCTTCTTTAAAAGAAGGTTTTTCTTTTCTATAATCCCTTAGGAGTCCGAAGAGCAGTTCAGTAAAGCAGATTTCTCACTGGAGCATAGGAGTACCCTAGAGGGACTTGCAAACCTTCCTCTTAGTTTTTGGCTTACTTCGTTTTTATTAACAGTCAAGTCATATATCAGTGAAACTTGCTTACTGTCTTTTAACCACCATCCCCCTGCCCCAAACTAAAGCCATAGTTTCACCATCAGTGATATCAAAAGGAGAAGCGCCAGCTCATCCAACTGAGACACAGCTGAACTGCCAACATTTTCTTAATTTACCTAATATGTTCAAATGGGAATCTGTCAAGGCTTGTAACAAAAGTGTTTGGAAGCAAGATGTTTCTCAGTGTGTGAGACAGTGAAGAATAAATGATAGAATGTGCTATATATGAGCAGCAGGAGTTTCAAAAATATGCAATTCAGAATCTCTTGCCCAAAAGCCCATTTCCACATCATAAATAATGTAACCCTGGGAACACTCTGTGCTCTGCAACTTAAAAGTAATGTTAACACAGTACAGTGTCAATGTAAGTTCTAGTCAGATTGACAGCTGAACAGTTACAGGTAAACCAGCGATTAAGCAGTTTTGGTTATTGCAGAGCAGGCAGAGCACCCCTCAACTTTTGACCTGTTCCCTAAGCTGGCCCTTCATGGGTACATTTTAAATTAGACACTTCTTTTTATATAACAAGCCTTTCTTCAGAGAATAAATACCCTTGCATTTTGGTTCTATAAGTTATATTAGGCTTTTTGGCTTAAATTATTACATGTACCTTTTGGAAAACATTGTTGATAAGCAAATGGCTAAAACAGCAGAATGGCTTACACAAATACTTCCTTGCCTAGACAATCAAACACATTTAAAACTTTGCTTTGTTGTCTTGTTGTCAAGAATTGCCCAATTTGTTTGAAAGAGATTGGGAATACTTAGAAACTCTTGAACAATGAGTTAAGAGACCTGTTGTGAAATTCTAGCCCCACTGAAGGGAATGGTAAAATTTAATCTCAGCAGAACGAAAATTTTTCTTCTTGTGCTGAAGTGAATCAGAACTTGACTCGCATCTCAGAATTTAGGTGGATATGGATGTTCCACTTAATGTTAAAGCCCTGATTTAAAACTCAGATGACCAACAAAGAACTGTGATTGTTCTTCCTTCAGACTTTCTATTCCCTGAGACACTGCAAAGAGAAACTCTTCTATTAAATTCACCAGGGTTTGCATCAGGGCTTATGTGCTGAGTGCATGCTGCTATATCCTTCTCTTCATGTTTCCCATCAGAATAGTTGGGGTGCAATTGTAACTGAACTGAATTGAAGATAAGCTGATGCCCAACAGAAAGGACACCATAGGAAGTAATTTTGCCACCCGTTATTAGTTGCTTGAGTAGTCCTGACTAGTAACAATATTCAGGAACTATGCGTAAGTACAGTAGATATATTGTAACCTTGTAGGAAATGTTTGAGTTTGATAAACTGGTGGCAAAGCTTTTGTGCTTTGATGATGGTAAAATTACATCACTATGTTCACTCTGCCCATTAGTACCTATTTGTGTCTATGGTAAGTCAAAAACATTAATATTAGGAGTTTTGAAACAAGGTATTTTATGCCTAGTGCAAATCCTTTTTAAAAGAAATGTCATTATAGCTGTCTTGAAATAACTCGAGTTCATTCTGGATACTGAAGATCAAATTATCCACTTCATTTACGTGCTGCTTTATTCATTTCCCCTTTAGTGACACTTCCAGACAGCATGGCCTATGTAACGAAGGGCTTTTCCTAAACTGTTGAATCAATAGAGATGATAGCTAATTAAGGCTTCCAGTTCTTCTCGTGTTCCCATGTCTTATGTTTCCAGTTCACCACATGTGACATCAATATATAAATTGAGCTAATTTCTGGTCGGGTCTTTAGAGAACAGGAACTAAGTTTTTCATTAATAGTATGTGGGTGTCCCCGTATTGTTTTCTAAATTGCCTTACCATTGGCATGTTTTATGTATTTTTCTGACAGTTACACTGTATCAGATTGGTTCATACAATGCTAAAGCAAATAAAGTAAGCTCTAATTTTAAATAAAGCAAGGTAGATTTAGAGTAGCTCTGCTGAAGTAGCTATGTTCATATTTATGTTCATATACATGAAACCAGAAGTGGATTCTAGCCTATAGATTTTTTTAGTTTGTTAGTAAATAATTAGTCATGGACAGAATTAATGAATAACACTGAAATGATATGGTAAAATGCTTCTGCATAATGTTGTGATTAGAAAGGAAATGGTAGTTAGCCCATCAAAAAGGTTTTTTTAATCTGTGTTTGACTCTTTAACATTTCACATATTTACTTGGCAACCTAGACCATCTTTTCTGAGGCAGAAAATATCTATATCTACCTATCTAAATATATATACACCTAGAAAAGTAAGGTGTACACTCATTTGATGTGTTAAAGCCATCAATAAGTAGTACAACACTAACAGAAAGAAATTACAAAGCACACCACTCATTTTCAAAGGTAACTTTTGACCTAACCCTCCTCAACTGAAATCAGACAAGTCTTATTTCATAGTTTCTTGGCTTTTTGAGTGCACAAGAAACAAGTCATTATGATTAATTCTTCTGACTTCACGTGTAACATAGACCCTAGAATTTTGCTGAATAATTCTTGCATCATGTCATAATTATGCTTGATTGTGCTAGACCACAGAAAGACAACCTATTTAAGAGCTTCAAATCTTAATTTTATCCTGTTCTCTTTTACAACAATAACCAGACTCTTAAAATCACTTGAATTGCATTAGTCTGAGGAAGAAAAATATTAAGCTTACCAATCTGAATAATAGTCATATGATAACAGTTTGTACAGCTAATTTGTTATCCTTGTATGTAATTGCACTTTTTGTTCTTAGAGCTGCTCCACGTGTAAAGACAGGAGACCTGCTCACAGTCTCTGTACAAGCTGCAATAAGTGGTTGTGTAGCTCATGTACAGAGGAACACAGACATGGCAAGGAAACTGGAGACCGCTTCCTGTCTGTATCCCTGAAGGGCTGCACAGGTACTGAAGATGCACTTTGAGTTTCTGTTTCTTATAGCAGTTATTGAGTTGAAAAAGGAATAGTTGCAGGCTCTGTGCTGCAGACATCATGCTCTGTGTGTGTGACTCAGAAGGATATGTATGTGTTGGTGAGAGATTATGTGATTTTTCCTATCACTTTAGGGCCATTGCCACAATCAGCATTCCACAGTATTTGAAAAATTTTGGATATTTTTGTTTCACAGAGACAGAGAATCTTTTCCACATGCCTTTTCAGTCTACGGAGTGATGGGCTAGGGCTTGGTAGGCTACAACATCAACAAGCCTTGCCCTTTTGGTATTTCTGTCCTCTTTTGGGTAATTTCCTTCAGGAAACTACCATAAAGCAATTCCTGTGCTTATGGACAAGGTGTGGGAGGGAGAGTCACAGGCAGCAAAAGGCTGTGATCACTATAAGATGTTCCTTTTCTAAGCCTGGAGTGAAAAATGTGGTTCCTGAGTGTGACCAACATATTGCCATCAGGAAGCACAAATGAAGCCCCCCAGCAAATAAGTCTCATACCTATACAGTGATGAACCACAGAAATGATTATCATCTCCTATTACTGCTCATTATTTTCTTTACTTATGTGCCAGAAATCTGCTGAGGAGTATGCTAACCTGAACTTAGGTAAGCAATATGTAACCTAAAATAAGAGTTTTGCAACTTTATACAGTGATTTAAGTTTATGCTTTGCTCCCATATGAAGTTATTTGTGCTAGAGAGTTTGTGCTTGTTGTGGTTTAACTCCAGCTGGCAACTAAGCACCACACAGCCACTTGCTCACTACCTCCCAGTGGGATGGGGAAGAGAATTGGAAGGGTAAAAGTGAGAAAACTCATGGGTTGAGATAAAGACAGTGTAATAGGTAAAGCAAAAGCTGTGCACGCAAGCAAAGCAAAACAAAACTTAAAAACTTATTTTAAAACTGGAGAGCGTAGCTCTGAGCTGAGTGTAAAGTAGGTTGAGAATACCATAGCTCAGTGGCAGTTCTCACTGATATGTCAATTGAATCAGGGAATTACTAGTAGCAGAGGCTGTGGGTCTGTGTTGTAATCAGATAACATTGGTTTTTATTCTTAGTTTGCATTTGAAATCTGCTTCTCTCTTAAATCTGACACTACTAAAAAACCCACTGATTTCTCTAGGATGATTACAATCACACAAAGGCTAAAGAACCCTTCAGAGAGAGAAAAAAGGAGAAATCATTATATAAGATTGTGACTAGGCTTCATTATACTTGGACCTTAAAGACCGCATCTCATTATAAGTTGGAGTTTAATATTGATAATTTGATCCTGAGTTTTCAGAAAAACAGCTTGCATGCTCTGCAGGTGCTGAACACTCAGACAGGCTTTTCCAGCTCATGAAAATGGAGATAGTTATTATGGGCTTTTTATTTTTTTTTTAAGATATATTATCTGACCCCATAGGGAAGGAAAAGATGATCTTCAACAGCCGCCTTGGTTATATATTGGTTATGGTTACATATTATTTGCATTGTCAGCTGCAGGTTTTAATGCAAAAGTACGTATTTGCAGTACAATCAGAAAAAATTTCCTGTCGAGGTAAGTTCAGTTTGTACCTCGATAGAAAAAAATATTGGAGTGGGCTAAAAAAACCTCTGATCCAATTTCCTCTTTTAATAATGCTATCTATTAGCATTTGATTCAATAATAATATAAACCAATACACTTTCCTGAAGAATAAAGCATGATACTGTAGTAAATAATTCATAACAATGTAAACTATGTAATGCTGTTACATAAAAATCTTGGCCTAATCTATTACAAATTATCTTCTTGCACATTATGTTACGAAGGTGGAGGGGAAAGCAAATTGAACCGGAGGAAGTAAAACAACCATCTCAGAAATATTTAGAGTAGATAGCAATCTAAAAAGTAGGAAATTTGGCATATTTTATTCAGAGCATGGATGGATTTTCTCCATATTTTCATTCTCTTTGTCAGCCATCAGATTTTCTTAGCCTTTCTACTTCTATATTGTGTATTTTCCAATTTGAAAATGAAGTGACTGAATTAGTATAGTTTGCTGTACATTGTGTCTGTGTTATTGCAATAGTATCACTTCAGAGGCTTGATTCTATAAAGGGCTCCATTTTGCCATAGGATTAGAGCATGGTCCCTGCCACAAGTTGTTTTTTTAAAATGTTTAGATGAGTGAGATAGGTTTGGTGTCAGAAAATGGAAACACTTTTCTCATTTTATATGAGCAAATAATGATCTATAAATAAGTAATGTTTTTATTTCATTTAAGGTTTGTATCAATAAGTGTTATCTAATGATGATTGTTTTGTTTAATTTCTCGTGTGTTGGTAAAGAATAATGGGATAGTGTCTTTGTAGGACTACTTTGAGGATGCAATCATGTGCTTTTCTTGTTGTCCCTATGTGCTAATAATGTTGATGATTCTGTGGACAGAGGATGTGAACACTGACCAGCATAAATCTGTCACTGTACTTTAGCATTGATCATGCTTTTTGACCATTTTGGGGAAATAATGTTTTTCACCAGTAATAATGATGGGTGGTCCTTATACTGGCTAATAAAGTAAGGCTCTGGAGTCTGCGTTTTTTGGGATCCAGGAAAAAAGCTTCCCCCTCCGTGCCTTAACTATTAATGTAGACATACTTGTGCATGTCTAACTTCAGTGGAAGGGGTTTTGTTTTGCCATGGTTTGGCGGGGTTTTTTTTGCATTCTTTCATTGGTAGTGTTCCTTCTTTCTAAAACAATTCTACCATATTCAGGAAAGAAGGCAAGAATAGACTGTACAGGAGCAACGCTTCCACTTTACATATCCACTGTCCATTCTTACTCTTCATCACATTACTCTTTGGAAAATCCTTTTAAGAACAGGTTTTAGTGCCTAATATCAATATCCCCTAGCTGCTGGAGGTTATGTACTGCATTTACAAGAAACAGAAGTTTGAAAAACAATTCCCCATGTGACTATTTAAGAACAAAGGATTTCCTTGCTTCTGCTGTGACTTCAGGTTTATTTAATATATATGCTTTTCTACATTTTACAATACAGTTTTGTTGACTGGTTTGTCAGACCAGGGCATTCAAAGTCATGAGGCAGGAGCCCAAAATCACGGGAGATATTTAAAACTTGTAAGAGTTTAGAGGACAACATGAATTTGATTTGATGACTTGTTTCTGACCCACTTTGATGTGCTCTGTTTGTAGGATGTGTAAGGCCAGGAAAAAAATATAAACAATCCCTGCTTTATAAAATCAGATGGTTCCAGGGTCCTGGGTCTTTTAAAAATAACATCAAGACTTTCAATAAAATTGTGAGAGTTTGGCAACTCTTTTTCTGAACTGTAATAGTAATTCTTGTCAATGACCCCATTGCTTTATATTCCTCAGCAACTGAAGATGAAGCAAGTGAATTTTCCTTATTTTGCCCAGTGCACTCTCAAGAGCCACTCAAGCTGTTTTGTGAGACCTGTGATACCCTTACGTGCCACAGCTGCCTTCTGACAGAGCATAAGGAACACAGGTACCACACATTGGTTGCTTAATCATAATCCTGTCTAAAACTGTAGCTAATTTATATTTAAGACTGTTCATCTGCATTTCCTGTCAGCTGAAGTTGCAAGCTAGTCCAAACTTAAAAGCCACAGCAAACTCAGTTCAGTTGTCTTATGCCCAAGCAGTGTAACACATGGGTTACTGCCCTCACAGAATCACTCACTGCTCTCAGCAGTGTGTGCTCTCCCAGTTGTATTGTCTGCCCAGATACTGTGTATGCATGTATATAGTTCCTCGTGATTGTGCTCAAACACACAAATTGGAACTCAATACTTAGCATGGTTCAAATACTTCTGTTTGTCTTTATCAAAGACATCATGATGGTACAAGACCAGAGTTACCAACGCTAAGGCATGCTGATTGCCTGTGGCCATGTAAGGAATTGTCTATACACAGTGACACTTCTTGTGAGACGACCCTGCCTATATGAGGGGCAGCTATATAAGTTTAGCTGTCACAGCAAGCATTTGTAGTAGGGAAGAAGCAGAGGACCGTGTCCAGACAGGTATTAAGGTAGCTGGTCCCCTAAACTTGTCAACTGGTAAGTTGATTACCTATCAACAGACAAAAACATTGTATGAGAATTTCCCCTTCTTTCACAGGTTCAGACATCTTGATGAAGCTTTGCAAAATCAGAGAGTTATCCTGGAAAATATCGTAACTAAAGTGGAAGAGAAAAAAAATGGGATTCAGGTTTCAGCTAAACAGATTGAAGACAGGTAATTGCTATGCATTTTTTTTTTCATGAAAGTGGTTGATCAGTAAAAATATTATTTTCACTAAATGTAGGTTAACAGAAGTAAATGCAGATGCTGTGGTTTTTTTTTTTTTTTTCCTGGAGGGTAGGAAATAATGGGAATATTAAAAATATTAAATTCATGTTTAAGCAGTACTGACAAGTCATGGCATTGTAATACATGATTCCATAGTCCTTATAAGGCATGTGACAGCTGACTTCAGAGTTAAGATTTCTTTGTATAATCTGTTTCTGAACTAGAATTTGAAAAGATTAGAAATAAAGATTATTTTAAAAATACTTTATTTCTTCAAGAAACCTCAAAACAAGCTGCAATTCCAGTCAAGACTAGTATAAAAATGAAAATATTTCATTATATGAACTGGACTTTGGCTACTGATTATGTATTTTTCAGCTGTTGGATCTCTCTTCTGCATTAATAAAACCATTTCAAACACCTTGAAAGAGTACAAATCTATACTATTTATACTCTACTATAAAGTGAAAGTTTTTTGGATATGGCTTCTGTGTGTGTTTGTTGACAAAGAACTTAAGACTATTCTTGGCATGATGTTTGAGAGAGTCAATCTGCATTGGCATGTCACATGCAGAGGGTAGTGGTCAACGGCTCAATGTCCGGATTGAGATCAGTGACAAGTGGAGTCCCTCAGGGGTCTGTATTGGGACCAGTACTGTTTAATATCTTTATCAGTGACATAGATAGTGGGATCGAGTGCACCCTCAGCAAGTTTGCAGATGACACCAAGCTGAGTGGTGCAGCTGACATGCCTGAGGGACGGGGTGCCATCCAGAGGGACCTGGACAAGCTCAAGAAGTGGGCCCATGTGAACGTCATGAGGTTCAACAAGGCCAAGTGCCAAGGTCCTGCACCTGGGTTGGGGCAACCCCCGGTATCAGTACAGGCTGGGGAATGAAGGGATTAAGAGCAGCCCTGCAGAGAAGGACTTGGAGGTACTGGTGGATGAAAAACCGGACATGAGCCAACAATGTGTGCCCGCAGCCCAGAAAGCCAGCTGTATCCTGGGCTGCATCAAAAGAAGCATGGCCAGCAGGTCGGGGGAGGTGATTCTGTCCCTCTACTCTGCTCTGGTGAGACCCTACCTGGAGTACTGCCCTCCAGCTCTGGAGTCCTCAGTACAGGAAAGATGTGGACCTGTTGGAGTGGGTCCAGAAGAGGGGCACAAAAATGATCAGAGGGGTGGAACACCTCTCCTATGAGGAAAGCAGTTGGCGTTGTTTAGCCTGCAGAAGGGAAGGCTCTGGGGAGACCCTACTGCGGTCTTGCAATACTTAAAGGGGGATTATAAGAAAGATGGGGACAGACTTTTTAGTAGGGCCTGTTGTGGTAGGACAAGGGGTAATGGTTTTAAACTAAAAGAGGGTAGATTCGGTCTAGATATAAGGAAGAAATCTTGTATGACGAGGGTGGTGAAACACTGGACCAGGTTGCCCAGAGAGGTTGTAGATGCCCCATCCCTGGAAACATTCAAGGTCAGGTTGGATGGCGCTCTGAGTAAGCTTCTCTAGAAGGAGAGTTGGACTAGATGATCTTTAATGGTCATTTCCCACCCAAATCATTCTATGACTCTATGTTTGAAGAGAAGTGTGTGAGAACTTATGGGAAATGTTACAACTTTCATTGGAGTTCTTTGCCAATAGTTAGATCAGTTCTTGTAACAAAAAACTGCTAAGCTCTGAATAAATGACATACCAGTTGGCTCATCCAGGGATGTGTATCTCTTACCTATAGGTTGCTTGAAGTAAAACATTTATACAAAAAGGTAGAAAATCAAATACAAATGGCCAAGATGATTTTGATGAATGAAATCAATAAACGAACCAACATCCTTCTTGAACAACTTGAAGTAAGTAAAGCTAGTTTCTTTGATACCTTGGGAAATTAACTAAATTAAATTTAATCCCAGTGCCAATGGAAAGAATATAGACTGTGAGATTTATTGTCCCTTTGCTTATGTTTTCAAATATTTCTTTTCTTTTCTGCAGAATTTTATGTGGAATCAATGGCTGACAAAAATTCAGGATGAAGTGGCAAAATGATTGCTTATCATGAGTTAACCACATTTTCTAATGCAGTTACAGAGAATATGTGTACACCTTTTGAGTACTTACAAAGCAAACCAGCTTCTGTTTTTAATGTTTAATTTGTAGAAGACCACTAGCAGCATATTTAATATCATGTTTTGAAAATGATCCTCTGGTCTACTCTCTGTAACAGAGCCTGCAGTTCTGACTCTTCAGTTTTTGGATGTCCGGTTGCAGTATATATGGTTTTATTTTGAAATGTGCTGAACACAAAAATTGATATCCAATCTGATCAGAGTTTCCAGTTCTCAGTTATTCTTGGGTGATTTTAACAGATACTGGAAAGAAAAGGCACTCAGCACTTGATGGCTACCTTTGAACTTACATATTTGGCTCAAATATGGCTACTCAGCTAAGTAGCTTTACAAAAAAGAGAAACCTATGTTCTCATTTCAGTATTATTAAACATTAAGTAAATTCAGTGTTCAAGTGTTTTGACGATATTTAAGTGTTTGTCTGAGTTATCTGTAACCACAACTGAACTGTGCATACACTTGAAGTATATGCACAGTGCTCTGTTGAAGTGCATGTAGTGGGCATCAAATGAAATTGGGAGGTGCCAGGTTCAAATCAAACAAGGGCAGATAGTTCTTCACATGAATGGTAAATAAGTGTGGAACTCCTTGATGCAAGATATTGTGCATGTGTTCAAAAGTAATTAGGCAAATTCTTAGAAAAATACACTGAGGATGATAATGTAGTCTCTATCTTTGTGGTCCCTAAATCATGAACTGCTGGAGACTGGAAGATCATTCTGAGGAAATGCTGCATGCTTCCCCTCTTTTTATACTCTTTCTTGTGTCTCTTCTGTTCTGTATTGTAAGAGACAAGAAAGTGGTCCAGGTGCAAATTTGATCCAACTTCTACAGCTTTCTTGGGTTACACTATTCTGTTAAACCAAGGCCAGAATGATGTAGGTTGTTTGCTGCTGGAGAAGTCGTTGTTCTTCCTGAATTCAGACATACCTGCTGAATAGGATTTGCTTTCTTTTTATGATGGGTGGTTTAAAGAGAGTCTAAATAACAGTGTCCCTGCAAATAATGCATAATGTAGTGCCAATGATTGTGTGCATTATGTGTGTCTGAAGAATGACAGCTATCACAAATATCCACATTATTAACAGAAAATCACCAGTGAAAGGAAGCAGAAATTGGAGCAACAACTGCAAGGAGTTGTGGTTTTAAGCAGGCAGGTAGAACATGTGCAGAACTTCATCAGTTGGGCAGTGTGCAGTAAAAGCAGCATCCCATTTCTCTTCAGTAAAGAACTGGTAAGAGCAATACTTATTTTCTCAGTAAATTGAAATTGTGCAGTAAATGTGAGAACTGTGTTAAGGATTTAATGTTTCTCAAATAAAACATTTTTCATGATCTTATACTTTTGAATAAAATTGTCATCCTTTGATTTGTCACCAGATTGTATTTCAGATCCAGCGCTTGTTAGAGACAAACTGTAACACAGACATAGGCCCTCCTCTGAAGATCAGATTTACTTGGGATCCCTCCTACTGGACTAAACAACTGTCCAATTTGGGTAAGAAAAATACATTGTTGTTTATTAGGCAAGTGCCCAAAGCTAGACAAGACAGATATAGACAATGCAGTACTTTCCCTAAAGTGCTCTCCTTTTTTGTTTTTACTTCCAGTTTTGTACCTCTTGTCATGTTCTGAAGAAAAGCTAGTGTGTCTGAACTTTCCTGGCTTTCCCTCCAGTTATATCAATTCACCTATTAAAAGGCATCATTATATATAAATATTACCTTACAAACATTACTTAGAAATACACTCTATAAATATAATCTTTGATGGTCTTAAAAAATCACAATGTAAGAGCACAACTACTAGTTTAGCGGGAACACTGTGCAGGACTAAACAAGTACCTTTTAACTGAAATTACTTAAAATGTAGCGTCACTGGCTATCAAACAGCCTTGACTTTGCCCAATGTATTTGAAATTCAGTTCTGTCCCAGCAAGCAATAGCTATGTACAACACTGACTCTGGCAGTCCTGTAAGAAGTACCCTGGGTGAAATGGAGTATCTGCAGTGGGCCTTGTGCTATTTCTTCTGCCTCACCCAGCAGCAGCTGGGCTCAGTCATGCCTGCGCTCCTCAGATCCTTTAGTATCTTAGTGGCCAAGGGACCTGAGCGGTGCTTGAGACACTTAGAATTAATGGGCACAAATATGGCTTTAAGATGTTGACTGTACAATAAGTACAATGTTATTTATATAATGAATGTGCATGCTGTGACTTTGTTCCCCACCAGCTATTAATTTCCCAACTGCAGTAGGTTTTTACAGTAAATTCAGTTCGGTGGGCCGATCAATGGTCTAAAAGATTGGTTCTCTTCCCATTTTAAGATATTTAAAACTAGATGGGGTAAAACACTATCAAAAGTATTACAGGGAATAATCTTCTCTTGACAAAAAGCATGGACAAGATCAGTTCATAGGTCACTTCTATTTCTAGCTTTTACGATTCTTGCCTACATAACATCACTCTCTTTTATTTTTGTCACTTTCACCCTGGAAGCAGTCTTTTGTACCTGTGCTTATGGATGAGAAGATATACTCATACTTTAGTAAAAAATGAAAGTATAAGCCATATTCATCAGTTAAAATAAAATAAGTTGAGGTCAATTTTTCAAAGTATTTGCTGGTAATTCAACCATGAGTTCCACTGACATCAGTGGGAGTTTGGTGTGATTTTAAATCACTGAAAAATCTTGAAAAATTTGTCTTGAATGTATGTTGAAGGACTGTTTGGATAGGATATTTGAATATCTTTTATATTTGAAATGAAGACAAGGAAATGGCCATCGTTCACAGTTTTTATTGTGTAAGTTTGTCAAGATCATAGGAGGGAGTAAATCTGCTGTTTTTTCCAGGAGGTTTCACTATGGAAGGTGGACACATTTCTCACTCAGATGTACTACTCGGTGGAAATGTGCAAGGATTACAGACCTCCTTGTATCATGGGCACTGTTCACCAGCATCACAGCTGGAGCCTGTGAATAGCCAGCCACATCAGTTTCCACCTGCAGTTCAGTGTCCTGTGCCTGTGTGTTGCTCGCACTGCCTCAGTGTACCTCACCCAAGCAAAGCTCAGCCTTCTTACCAAGACATAAACTGCCATCAGAATTTTCAACAACCTCCCAAACTGCATCAGCAGTATTTTCCTCTGCAGTACAGCATACAGCAACATGACAAAGAGCAGAGGGGTGTCCCCCAGCCTATGAAGCTAACACAGTCTGAGCTGGAACAGCAGTTGCGGTCAGAGCCAGAGAATGTGTCCGTGAGGATGGGAAAGCACTTACCATCCCAGCAGCTGCAGCAGACTGCACCCCTGGGTTATGCTGTTGTATCACATGAGGCTCAGCAAGTTCACATGAGCCATCCACAGCCATTCCGCACACAGGCTTCTTTGCAGACATCAACTGTGCAAGTGCAACTTGGTCATCTCCAGAAGATAAAATCTAACCACTTGCAGCAGCCACCACAGCAGCAGCAGCTGCCACCAGCATCACCACCATCAGATCAGAATGAGAACACCCACACACAAGTCATCCAGCAGAGCCTGGACATAATGCACCACCAGTTTGAACTGGAGGAGATGAAAAAGGATTTGGAGCTTCTTCTGCAGGCCCAAGGACAGTCCAGCTTGCAGCTGAACCAAGCCAAGCCACCTCAGCATGTTCAACAGACCATAGTTGGTCAAATCAACTACATAGTGAGGCAGCCAGCCCCAGTTCAGCAACAAATCCAAGATGAAGCACAAGTAAGTTCTCTGAAAGTTCTTTCCTATTGTGTTTAGTCAATGTAAGCTCAGAAATGGGAGACACCTTTGAGATTTCATGTAGTTGGTTGAACTTGCTGTTGTTGTCTGTGTTTGTATTCAGCAGAGGCTTTATGCCTCATGCAGATTGGGCCATAATTTTCTGTAAAGTGCTGCAAACAATCTGGATCCCAAAGATTTGAATCTCTAAATAGACAACATAAGCAGCAGGTGAGGAGAATGAAAGCATCATCATTCCTCCTTTCTGAATAGGTAACTGGAGGACTGCAGTAGTCTCACTCTCCTTTTCAACTCCTTTTTACTGGAAACTTTAAGCCCCAAGTCCTTGAAAAAGATTCCCTTTTGATTCTGAATGATTAGTGAAAACAGAGTGAACACCTTTTTTCAGTCTGAGAGTTATTTCCCATTCTACTAGTAACTGCTCTTGCTACTGCATCGTATCCTTTAAGATTTTCATCAGTATTCATACATGCTGTTCTGTTACAGTTTTGTCAGCAGGGCTTATTTCTCCCCTTTCCCTCTGTTGGTAAGAATCCTGCTTTTGAAAAAGGCGCAGTGCTTGGTGGTGAGCATCCAAACTGCAGGGCAGATAAGGTGCACAATAAGGTGGCTTTGAAACTCATTCAAAACAGTGGGGATTGCAGTGGAAAGGTGGCTGGGACATCCCATTGTGTAAATTCTGTGGAGTTGCCACCTTCAATAGCTCTCAAAGTGGCTTACCTGTAGGGGCAGACTGCAGGCTTTTGGAATAGCTGTACATTTCAGCAGCTTTATTGATTTTTTTTTTTTTTTTTTTAAATTCATTAATGTTTGAGAGAAATCGCTCTGTATTCATTTATCTCTCTACTTAGGGTTACTTTGAACATCTTTGTTGTTTTAGAGTTGTTCCAGTCTTGTCATATTGTGTATGCTGTGAGTTGATGTGTATTTGTTACCATTTTTCTTTCTGAGATTTTGAAAACACAAATTATTAATTGTGATTTGTAGGTCTGTGAGAGTTCGACTGAACTTGATGCACAGAAGCCTGTAATTCCCCTTGACAAAAGTGGTGGTCCCTCCCTGTCACAGTCACTAGATGAAGAAGCTAGTGTCAGCAGTCACTCCCCTGAGAGCATATTGCAACAACCAGCTTTCCATCCAGTGAGAAAGGTATAAAGAACTTTTTAAAAAAAATGTATTTTAAAGGGAAAACATGATTTGATAATATTGAATATAATATGGCATTGGAATTTGCAGTCAGGTTGAAAAAATTAAAATACAGTAGAAGTTGACAAAATGGCTTGTAAATCTTGGAAGACAGTCATAGCCTAACCTAGTGTGCATCTCCCAGTAAGATGCCTATACACTGTGCTGTAGCCAGGATCAGCAACTGTTCTATAAGCTGGTAGTGGTTAGATCTGTCTGGTGTGATTGTTAAGCATGAACTGGTGAATAAATAAAAGACCTATTTCTTCACTAGGTAAATTCTGTCCAGTCCCTACCTGTAGGGGTTTAACTATCTGAATTTGCTATCTGTCATACTGGCAGCAGTTAATTTGGAAGAAAAAAAAAAAAAAAAAAAGAGTCAGAGATTCTGATGAAATTAGGCCTGAGAAACATCCTTCAAAATAGTTGCCCTGGCAATAACAACACTAATTATCACTGAAGAGGTGGTGTCTGTAAGGGTTATAATTCTGTTGTACTCATTCTCCTTGTTCGTGTATAAGCAGAAAAATAAGAGATTTCTGTATGTCTAGAATATTTCAGCACATAATAGATCCAGGCTTTGATCCTTCCACCTACTGGGAGGCCCTAACTGTTGAAGAAGCAGCATAAACAAAACCAGGAGGGCTCATCTTTATCGGTAGATCCTTGCTGGCTCTGGATATCACCTGTGCAATTGAGGCAGAGAAGCTGCCTTTTACCTCTCCACACAGTTTGTTTAAAACACTCCAAACAGCACTTCATATTCTGGTTGCTCAAATCCATTTTGTACTTCTGTGCATGACTCACGTTGTGTACCATGTAGAAGTCTTTCATGGATATTTTTTCTTGGAATCTGTGTGTAGAGTATTTGTGGGAGAATTTGTCTTTCCTTACTAGGCTCCAAAAGGAAGTTATTTTATCGTTCTTTAGTATGTAGCTTTGTTGACCCAATGTATTGATGATGCAATACCCGTTCATAGAGTTGTTGGAGATCCTTTTGGGAATTGTAGAGACGCGGAAAGGTAATGATTACTGAGGGTCTGGAAGCAGCATGTAAATCAGATTTGCAAGCCACAAAGAAATCTGCAATTGCTAACTTAATCCTGTAGGTGTGATGGAATTTCTGATCAGGTTGATGGTATCACAACATTCTTGAATGATGCTCATTGGCTCTGAACTTTCACATGTGGAAACAGATCTCCCTTAGCCTCTCATGACAGAGCACTGGACTGGGGAAAGCTATGCAAATTTTCTAGGATAGGGCTACCTTTACTTTAGGATATGACTGTAAAAATTGAAGATGTGTATTTAAAGCCTGAGCAAGACCATGAACCTGAGAACGTACTTTTCTTGTTAATGCAGACACACCCTCAAAGTTATTTGTGAAAATGAATGGTGATGCTAACCAACTAGCTTTCAGAGGCTTTTTCTACATGCATGTTGAAGAAGCTGTCCTTTGTCTTCTGGATCTGTAAAGAACAGTTACTCCCAACAGCTTAAACAAGAAAAATCAGGAAGAGGGAAGAAAATGGAAGCAGATGTGCAAGAGAGAGACTAGTGTAGTCTGATGGGAAAAGGAGGAGGAAAAAAGGAAGAAGGGCTGATTTGTTGCTGTATAAGTTGAGAAGGTGGCAAGAGGAGGATACTTGTAGGAAAAAAAATCGAAATTTTTCTAATGGTGCTGAGAAGTGTATGCTCTTGTGCAGAAAGCACAGGTATGTCTGGTTTTTCACTTGTTTCCTGGTACCTGTGCAAGAAATGAGGACATTCAACAGCTAGAGTACCCCATCTTTGCTTGTATTTATCTCTTGTAATGAGCTGTTCGGGATGAAGCCATAATGTACTGACAGTTCTGGCAATGGCTAATTAGAAATGATGAAGGGAAACAGCACAGTAAGGAAACCCTTGAAATACAGTCTTCATGAATGCTGTTTAAAGATGTCTGACTGCTTTTGCTGACAGTTAGATTAAATCTAGGTTTAAACAGGAGATCAGTTCCTATTTAAGAATAAGGGGATGTGTCTATTCATTCTCATCTCTGTTTCACCTGATTAAATATTTTCACGCTCATCTGCAGACAAAAATTTCTGTACAGGTGTTTGTCCATTTACTTTAATATGGCCTGTATTCAGAACATTTAATCTCTCTCAAGTTCTTGGAGGACATGGAAAAAGTGAACGTGGAGAAGTCTAAAATACTGCACTTGGAAAATACGGTAGAGAAAATGGCTAGAGAAATCTTTTGCTACCTGGAGAAGAACTGTATTCTGCCTTTTGGAGAGTAATTGGTATTCGACTTCCTGGCCTTGTGCTGAACCCTGACAGCCTTTTTTGTGCGCTGCATTCCTAGTGGAGTAGGTAATTCTCTGGCTGCTGAGATTCTTTCATTAAAGAGAAAGGAGTGTGAACCAGGTTGTAGCAAAAGTCAGAATCAACTGTTTAGTGGTATGTTTGCCAAGATCTGTCAAAAAATAAAAGCTTCCATTAGCCCAGTGGCTTCCTTTATTTTGGAGGGGGCAAGGCTTGATTGCTCATGTAATTAAGTGCCCGTGCATTAATTTTGAAACGTGTTTACAGTATGCATTTGATACTATTGACTGATAACTAGATGAATTGTCTGCATACAGGATCATATTTATGCGTGAAGCAATATAGAGCAGATGCTATTAATAGTTTGGGATCACAACATTACTCATAAACGGGGAAACCACAAGTACGTTATTCAGATCATCCCAGACAAGTGCTCGTGCAGCTGTTACACCATGGTGTGAGGCACTCACATGCCATGTGAGTGCCTTTAAGTTCAAAGAACGCCTCTTCAAGTTATTCTGATGAGTACTGTTTTCTGTCCCTCACATTTAAAGCTGGTGAGTGATAAGCAGAAGTAGAGAAGCAAGGATGCAGCACTTCATGCCCTTGTAAAATGTCTTTGTGTGTTACATTTCGCCATCTATCAGGACAAAAATTAAATGTAGCTTCACTGAGCAGAGTTTTGGCTTCCCAGTCATATAAAGCAGGGTTTTGTAGCTGGTGTCGATCAGAAACATTGGCATCAACGCTATTGCTGTCTTAAAGTTCAGAGTAATTCCTGTCTGTGCCCACCTGCTCAGCATGCGTGTGTATAGTATAGTCTCTAAACATGTAACTTCAGTTATGTGTGGGCTTGTTTTCATTTCTTTCACTGTTTTTGGAACATTAATGGTGATATTTTGTCAGTCTTTCTGTCTTCCTTTGTATTCCTCTTTCCCTGTGAATTGAATTTTTTGTGCAGAATAAATGTTTCTGTACTTAGACCATTGATTGTTTGATACAAGTCAAGTACTGCACTTAGCATAACTTTGGGCTTGATTAGCAACTTTTAAGAATGCAACAGTAGAAATGGAAGTTTTCTGTCTATGTGCAAAATGGATATAATTTTCTCTTCACGGTCCCCTGTCGGTATACTTCACTCATGTAGCTGGGACCTCTGTTCTGGACTGTGGAGTTGTTCCATCTCCATGCCTGTCAAATAACCAGTCTCTCCAGTAAGAATGCCAGCAAGACAGAGGACAAATCTCAGAATAATTTTTGTGATACCTGCACTTTTGTTCTGGGGAATTGCGCCAAGCTCTAGCAAACAGATTTTATACAAGTGTCATGGTTTAGCCCCAGCCAGCAACTAAGTACCACACAGC